CTTCTTCGTCTTTTGACCAAAGCGGGACCGAAAGATGAGGATTTTTAAATTCTTTCATGAGTGATTTGACTGGGACCAGTATGAACATGACGCATCAGCAGAACTCCAGAGACATGTGAGCAGATCTGCGGCAGGCACACGCTTCTAACTTGCACCTCGTGGGTATCCACATGAAATGTGTACGAGCTGATGCGTATCCATTCCGGCTAGTCTCTAGTGAGTATACCACTCTCATTTTGAATCGGACCTCTTCCCAAACCAAATTGAACTCATTCCTTACATAGTTGATTAACCAGACCACACTAGGTACTGCTGCAAGCCCCCTCCCAACGTTCCCGCCACTTTTCACCGCCATGGTCTTCCGAAATTCTTTTTGTGAATTCTTCTACCGCGAATTTTTTGCTCTTTTGCTATTTCGCATATATACTAAATGAGAAGGATTGATATACCGACACAATTACGACTCCCCCCCCTCCTTTTCACTGAAGGTATTGTAAGTTTCAAACTTACAACTTTTTTCAAGGTCAAATTCATTCTTCATAAAACGATTGTGCTAGGCATGCATCTCTACACTGGCACAGTGAGCTCTGCGCCCTGGCCACACACATTTTCGCGTCTTTTTCAAAATTCTTATTTTTTTTTCTTTTCAAAATTCTACCTTTTCGGCCGCAACAGATGGTTCCGCCTGCTTAGCACAAGCATTTCTCAATTTCAGAAATGATTCAGAATGGAAGGCTGGAGTTTCAGTTTGCGAGCCGGGGTCTCCCCGTCCAGAACAAAAAACAGACAAACCGAAAAGTAGGCGAGATTTAGAGGGGGGGGGTGCTGCGGTACCTACTGTGGCCTAGATAATCAACTGTTTGATGTAAGGAGTGTCCTGTATGATTTGAAGATTGTCCATTTCAGTCCGAAAAGTGCCCGACTGAAAATGAAATGGTATACTCCACCGAATACTCTGTAAATTTCAAAATTTGAAATACCTTCTGTGTGGCACTCTTTATAGCCGAGGAGATTGTCGAAGCTGTGAAACTGCCGTGTCCTCTGCACACTGAAGTTGGAGTCGTCGATACAGGGATTTTTGATTGCTTGGGCGTAGAAGAGTTAGACTTTTTGGATTGTTTGGGCGTTGTAGAGTTAGAGTTCATGGTCGCTTGGTCACAAGTATTGTTCGCTGTCAATATTTTGCTGAAATATTCCTTTGGAAAAACAATCTGTGATAGTAAAAATTTAAGTTACAATAAAACACATGTGATTGAGGTATAAGTTTACCTTCTAACATGATTATGCGGATTAGCCGGACAGTTTTCAGCATGTTCTATTTCTGTATCAGCCTTTCGAGCGGAAAGTAGCATGTTCTCTTTTTCCAATGCACTCTGTAACAAGGAAAAATACGTACACGAATCATGCACGCATAAGAAAAGCTCATCCCACAATCATCACGCCCATAAGATAAGGCCCATTATTGACATGGTGAAACGTGGTCCGCCTTTTTCGTGAAAGATGACGACAGGATTGATTTTCCATTGTTTCAAGGCCACGACCATCTGATTGGGATTTTAGTCGAGTCGTACGACCCCACCCACATTTTTACGGGGGGGGTGTTACGACTCCCCCGTCCCCTAAAAAATGGGTGGGGTCGTACGGACTCGACTAAAATCCCCAGTCAATGGTGTGCCACGACTCCCCCCCCCCGGCCCCCTGTCCCACCTCATCGAATCGAGCCGTCGATTCGAAGCACTATTTTCAGAGTCGGATCATTTCAAAGCTCTTATTCCACCAGACAGATATGGCTAAGACCAGGTATACACTATATAAGGCGATAGAGGACAAGAACGGTAAAGCCTTCGCCGTTGATCGATCCTTTTGCGATGCGACATGCACCCTACATCCATTCAGAATCATACTGGCTTACAGTGTGCGGTGTGGCCTTTACAATAACTTGTGGGAGCGACCAGTTGGCCTGAACGGGAGCCGATCCGGACCCGCGCACGTGGTAACCCGTGCCACTTGCCACTACACAAGTGCCACTCCGCCTCAAGGTACGATAATGCAAGTAAGCTTGAGCAAAGTCATGCTCATATAATTAAAGCAAACCTTTGAAGCACAAGTTCACTATTGTATCACCCCTTCTCCCTCCCTTTACTTCGTGATCAACTGCAGCGTGGAATACAGCACTTTACCCGAACAGATGTCCAAATCTTGTGAACTTGCTTCAGGTTCACCATCAGTGATAAAATCTGAAAGAGCATTCTATAGCGCCTGTAAGAGGAACAGTTCATGCCGAGGGATGAGGACAACCCATATCTGTCAGCAAAAAGGGGCGTTTTAACATGTGTAGTTGCGAGAGTTGAGATGAAGAAGGGCAAGTAAGGACGTACTAGGTAGGCAGGGAAGTATGCAGCAGTAGCTGTTCTCGCAACTACGTACTTGTAGGCTCTCCCATTCGCTTTGGGAGGAGGAAAACTACTTCCGGCATAGCTCGCAATATTTTCTAGCTAGTTGACTTGACAGACACAGACTGGGAGAAAGCTGGTCGAGTTAAAGGAAGTTCTCGAAACGCGCAGAGAGTTGTTGAGGCGCAACACTGCCCATTAAGTGGATTGGGTCCTGGTGCGAATGCTCCGTACGTCACTCCGCTTGTGATGCCTCTTTCGCTGCGAATCGGAAGTAATGCTCCACGCCCTTCTCCCTACATAAACTGTATGACGCGCGATCTACCTGAGTGGTGTATAGTGCTGGAACGGCGAGCTTTCCTGGAACTACGAGGAGTCTGTCCACGGACTGTTTCTGAGCATGGAGATTCGACACCTGAAGTAGGTATGAATGCTTATAGACAAGATGCAAAGCTGTGTTTTATCGAACCATCTCCGCCAGAATGTCGATCTTTTGACTGACGACTGCTTTTGCGATGGCAAGCATCAACGAGTGACGCACTATTCCCTTGTGGAGTGATTGTATTATTAAGTTGCGTAGGATCTACAAATATTTGGATTAACCTGAATGGAAAATGACATTTGAATATATTACAAGCTTAGAATTTCTGAGAAATTTCCTCTCACACTCTGGGACAAATTCTAAATAAAATTCATCTTATACTGACCTGAGGGCGCAGCTGGCGCCGAGATTGTGGTCGTATCAAGACGACGCCTGCACCCAGCTACCAATAGGCCCACCTCCTATAGCTTATCCCCACCCACCCTAACGCGAGCTACAGTCTTGATCGCCGGGATGTTGGAGCGTGACAGTTCTAGATTTGGAGCGGCGCCAGCGCGTTTCCATCAATTATGGTCGCTTGCCAGCTTCCACTACTAATGGAGAATCAGTCGGCGCCGCGCCAATTCAGCCCGACACGCCCTGGCATCCACAGCAGCCAAACTGTATGCCTTTGGGAGGACAGAGCATAGCATCGTGACTCCATAAAGACACTATAAAAGGGCAAGCAGCGAAGATTGTCACAAGGCAACTCCAGCCAGCATGTTTCTGCCCTGCAAACCAAGTCAGCAAAACATTCAGAAGGCAGCACTGAATGTTGGTTAAAATATTTGTTCATACCTTATGATTACGCAGCAATTGATGTAATCGTTGACTAGGCTGCGTAAATGAGATACATATCGGCTCGACTTTTCGTCAGATAGCATCTGACTTCTTAGCTTAACCGTCGAAAACATCTACTATACCTATTTGCGTAGGGCCGATAGGCGTTTCAGCTTCGCAGCAGAGACGCCGAAGACATTTGCGATCCGATCGCGTTGTGCGAGCGGTCGGGTCGCGAAGTATGAACACGCTGTAAAGCATGAGCGCAGTCATGGAAAAAGGCCAGTGCAAACATAGTTGTGGTGGGACAATGCCGCAACACATCTGTTTCTGATACGCGGGATTAGGCCGCGGCGAATCTGCACTCAGCTAAGCCCGCACCTTGGCTAAAGGAACATAAAGGCGGCACCTGTGGCTCCTTCAACTACGTGTGCACTGACAATGAAAAGATAAACGAAAGAAAAATTTCAGAACGACCTTCGTCATCCTCGACATAATCGAATGTTTCATTCAGTCTTAAATGACTCCGACGTCTATTCTTCTTACCCTTTTCATATCCCTGTTCAGTGGCATTCTTAGGATCGCTGATGAGCTGAAATTCATTTTTTAGGAAAATAAAAAC